AAAGTACGCAGCTAAACTACTAGCATGCACGTGTATTGCTCTCGTCATATTTGATATTAAAATGTTTACGAAATTGAATGAGTGACTTTTTGCGAATGACGTCAGAATTGTTGAAAGAAATGGTCGTATAAATGACCTAATTTAACTACAGTTGAAAAAAAAAGATCATTTAACATGTTTTGCTCATGTCTCTCAAATTCGAAAAACATAACGAGCGTGTTCCATGTGCTAGCCGTGTAAACATTTAAGAAAATAGTTATTGGCTCACCATGGAAAAAGCCCGCTAAAGATGATTTTCACTTTTTGATAATTTTGATGTCTAATGGGTGTACTTTCCCTAGATTATTATTATTATTATTAAAACGATATTTATACAGCGCTCGTCTTCCACTGCAGAGCAATGCTCAGAGGCGCTTTACAAAAACAAAAATTGAATCAATATAAAATTCAAATGTACATAAAAGTCTAAATGATAAAATTACATACATATAGAGAATGACATAATCATATGATAAAATGCAAGATATATAGAATCTTTTTTAACTAAAAGCATATGTAAAATCATATGGTAAAATGCAAGATATATAGAATCTTTTTAACTAAAAGCATGTGTATAAAAATGTGTTTTCAGTGATTGTTTGAATATTGTAATAGATTTTGCTGACCTAGAAACAAAAGGGAGCTTATTCCAGAGTCTCGGTGCCTGGAAAGAGAAGGATCGTTCTCCGAAAGAAGAAAGATTTACAGAGATGGGTTTAAAGAGAAGGGGGTCACTAGATGACCTCAAACATCTAGTTGGCGTATATACAGTGATTAAATCTTTTATGTAAGAGGGTGAAGTGTCATTAAAACATTTATAAACCAATAAAAGTATTTTAAAATTAATGCGGTACTTAATGGGTAACCAGTGTAAAGAAGCTAAAATTGGAGTTATATGGTCATGTTTTTTTCGAAAGAGTTATCAATCTGGCAGCACAATTTTGAACTTTTTGAAGTTTATCTAGGTGTTTTACAGGAAGACCAGCAAGGGGAGAATTAAAATTATCAAGCCTAGAAGTTATAAAAGCATGAACAAGTGATTTAGTGGCATCTAGTGAAATGTATTTTCTAATTTTACCTATATTGTAAATGTGGAAATAGCAGCTTTTACATACATTATTAATAATGACAGACTGAGCAATTGATATGGATCTACAATCAGATATTTTATTTAGATTATTATTTGATCCTATAAGAATATATTCAGTTTTGTCACTATTTAACTTAAAAAAATTAGCAGACATCCATTTTTTTTATGTCAATTAAAAAGCAATATAAATTTGGGTATCATCTGCATAGAGCTGATAGTCTAAGCCATGACCCCGAACTAATTTGCCGAGCGGAGAAGTGTATAGTGTAAATAGAATGGGTCCAAGAACAGAGCCCTGGGGTACTCCGTATAAGATGTCATTGTTGTTAGAAAATGTATCATTAATTGGCACTCTTTGTTGTCGACCAGTTAAATAACTTGTTATAAGTTTTAATACAAAGCCATCTATACCAAAATCTACATTTAAACGACTAATAAGAATTGGGTGGTCAACTGTATCAAATGCAGCCGATAAGTCTAACAAAATAAGAAATACACAGTGTTGATTGTCCAAAGACAACAATATATCATTATGAACCTTGGTTAATGCTGTTTCTACACTATGCCACGGTGGCTAGGTGGGTAAGGCGCTGGCTCGCTAGCCTGGAGGTCGGGTGTTCGATCCCTGCATTGGCCGAGAAAGTTCATCCCGATTTTCCGACGTGGTTTCCCCTTATCAGTGATGCAGGACGGAGGGCCTGACAAGGACAGCTGTCTAGTCCTTCGGATGAGACGAAAAACCGAGGTCCCGTGTAAACATTGGAATGCACGTAAAAGACCCCTTGGCAGATGGAATTCGATATAAGAGTAGGCGATAGTGCCGCTGCCCGGGCAAAATTTCCCTTATAGCACACTGTATGGCGTATGCCCGTCTTCATTAGCCCAGTGTAGGAGCAGAACAGTATTACGTTAAACCCCATTTCATTTCATTTAATTTCTACACTATGAAATCGCTTATATGCACTTTGAAGGGGTTCTTGTAAATTATTATCATCTACATATTCTATGAGTTGATTGGCGATACATTTTTCTATGATTTTAGATATAAAATTTAAATTTGACACAGGCCGATCATTTTTTAATATATTGATATCCAGGTCCAACTTTTTAATAATGGGTTTAACATTTGCAATTTTATACAAAGTAGGGAAAATACCTTGTTTGAAACAACAATTAACAATATCTGTTATATATTTAGATGAAAGTCATTGTTAAATAAAACTGGAAAGTGATCTGATTAGGTACATCATCAATGGTAATATTAGATATATTAGAGCTATTTTGGTTAGTGATTATCAGATCTAAGAGGTGACCTTTGTTGTGGGTTGGGTCCGTTACATGTTGAACTAGTGATCTGATGTCAAGGATATCATTAAACTGTTTTACGAGCGAATCATCACTGTTGTCAAAATGTAAGTTAAAATCTCCAATTATGATAAGTTTCTGGTACTTCAGTAGTAATTAATCAGCAAATAAAGAAAATTCCTCGAAAAACTGGGCAGTATTTCTATTATTAGGTGGACGATAAATTGTTGCAATGTGGGGTGACTGATTGTTTATAGTCAAAGATCACATGCTAAAAGTTCAAATGAGCTGTATTTATCAGTAACACATTGTTTTACGTTTATGGCAGATTTAAAAATCAGGCCAACACCCCCGCCTCTAGATTCTCTGGGTACGTGTAACAAAGAATAGCCGCATGGCAATAGAGCGGATATTGTTTTTGAATCACTGGTACCAGTTAACCATGTTTCTGTGATTCCAAATATATCTAGATCATGATCTAAAAGAAAGTCATACAATTCAGTTGTTTTATTTCTAACTGATCTTGAATTCAATAATCCAACTTGAATGTTTGTGTTTACTTTTATACTGCTATGGATAGTTTTAACGTTGATTAAGTTTTTATGGTTAATCGATGATTGCTGTCTTTTACAAGTCTCAGTTATTGGTTCCGATATCACTACATCAATAGTTTCGATTAAAGTAGTTGAAAGTTCATAATTATTTGTGGAACATGTTAAATCTATCCAATTATGCCGATTTACTGACCATGGTTTGTAGTTAGCTTTTCGGAAAGATATGACAGGTTTAATTGATCTCTGTTTATTTCGACCACCTCTGGACCCCCTCTGCAATGGTTGGTTAGTTTGGTACAATGGTGAATAACACATCACATCTCCTTAAATCAACAACACTAGTGAAATTGAAATATTAAAACAGCAAATATCCTTCAGTACAAACCAAACTTAAAGAAATAATCACAATAAAAGTAACCTTTGTTATATACCAGATGTAGTTTCGAATAAAATAGTTTAAAGAAAGTTCTAAAACACCTCAAATTACATAAAATAACACAGAGCAAAACATTGTGGCAGCCACTGAGAGGGCGCTCTAGATAACATATGTTCAATACCCGTGTGCTTTTTTTTATACCCTGTCGGCAACTCACCAGGTATTTGCCGTTTGCGTTCTCTACCATATCAATCCGAGGGAGAGTAGGTTTATATCCGACATACACAACGCCATTTCACCCTTAAATTTAATGGGCTCTTCCATTAAAAGGCAACAACGATTGGATAATTGCTCGATTGTTTCCGCCAAATACCGAAAATTACCGAAGTAATCACGTGCAATTACGTGCATGTTTTTGTTTATATGTCGCCATTTTGGACTATTGAATTGAAAGCAAAAACAAAATGGATAGTAATACGAAGTCAGATGAATAATCAATCCTTTTTAGCCAACATATTGACGATGGAATAGATGTGAGTGCAAATATCGACGAGGATCTATCCAAAGCCTGCAGAAAATTTGGACCAAAAGGCATTCTTTTCCAAGAATTCTGACAGTGAACCATAATTGAAGGTTTTCGGTATGTTCAGAGAAGGATTTGACCGACTGTTTTAAGTGGACTGTACCCAAAAACACTTTACAAAGGAACTCTTGGGCGATAAATACTTTCAAGTCTTGTAGTGTGTGGAGAAATAATCGCAATGTGGACGAAAAGAAAATTCTGAAAGATGTCTTAGACATGGATAACCGATCTAAATACATGTATGTCGATAAGTACGCCATCTATTTCGGTCCTGAATGTTAGAAACTGTACCATAACAAATTTTAATTGTCAAAAGAATACAAATTTATTTCTGTGGTTTTTTTTGTATTATTTCGATCATTTACGTCATCAGCGGTTGATATGAGCTGAATATATCGACCTGAGATGACGTCATTAGCGGTTAATATGAAATATCAACCTGTCATGACGTCATCAGCGGTTGATATGAACGAATATATCAACCTGTGATGACGTCATGACAGGTTGTTATGAGATATAACTGCTATGGACATCAAAGAAAAAACTACCGCCAGTTGTATATCAATATATATACACTGTTCTTTGAACGGCATTTAGTAAGTGAACACATTAAAATATATAGGTTAGAGCTGGGATCATTGACCTACTAATCATTGTATATACTCCACAACACTTATCCATTAATCAATTAGTCAATTTTTAGGTTAATTGGTATTATTGAATGTTCCCATTAGCCTTCATTAAATTAGATTACCTTTAGGTACACGTAATTAAGGGAGATCTCTGGTTTGTCAGCATTAACTAAGTATTGTTGTGTACATGTATATATTGTCCTGTCATATTTTCATTTTTTATCATAGCTTGATAATGACCAGAGAAGCCTAGTCGAAACGTCGCTCAGTAATTGTACTCCATACAATTGTGAGTCACGAATTGTGAATATACAGGTCACAAATTGTGACCTGTATATTCACAATTCGTGTCGCCGAGTTCAGTACATTGGTGTGATCATTGAAGAGATCATTGAGGCGAGGCGAGCTTTGCGTATTGTCACGTGACTGTGCAGGGTAGATAGTGATATCGCATAAGCGACACGGACAGGTTTTAGACGAAATGGTTACATACAATCTAAAATGGTGAGTCTATTTTTATGTCTTGTTTTCTGAAATATATTTAAAACAACATAGGTGGTTTTCTCTCATTATTGTTTTACAACCAATCCACATCATAGCATCACAAACCCAATTCTTGAATACGATTAAATTATATTCTTATTTGCTATTTCATTCGTTGCCGAGAACCCATTATATATACAACGATGACACTGTTAATTTACCTTTATAATTCACAGTAGTTTCTTTCTCATAGATCGTTAATGAATGGTTTTGTTATGTTCTTTGATCCCTGTTCATTAATGTAACTTTTTATTATTTTCTCTTACGGTCTACTTCTTAAATTAACTACATAATAAAGCATTTCGAAATGAAATGAAATAAGAGTTTTATGGCACGCCAGCATAGGCGTACGGGCTTGATGACAGCTAGGGGGGCAGAACGCGATATGCCCGAAAAAAAAATTTCGGGTTTACAGAGAGCGCCGGTCTTCCTTGAGAGGCGAAGAGAGCGGAGCTTACCTTGTTCCCCCCCCCCCCCCCTCAGGTGGCTGACTCGAATTCCAATCAATCGTTTACAGTCCACGAAGACAGGTCCTTTGGGAGAAAATTTTGAAAATTTAACTGCCACAAACGCGTTTTCCTGCTATTCCAGCCAATCAATCGTCGCTGGGTTCAGGGGTATACCCTCCCGGAGAAAATTTTGAAAATTTAACCACCGCTAATGCGTTTTCTGCTATTCTAGCACGTGTAAACTCCAAAAGTATCCACTGGTTTTGTAACCGAAATCCCACTCTGAATTCCAACCATCCAATCAGATTGTTACAGCTGCATTCACAAATAATAATCGATGCCCGAAAAATGTCGCACAAAGTAGAGTGACTCCAGGCAACATTTTTTAATCCATAGTCAACTCTGTACAAATTCGTGGCATTCAATTAAAAGATAAGTAAAATTAGTGTTATATTAGGGCTCGATAACAGTAAGGGAAGCAAAACTAGAAATGCCCGAAAAAAATTCGGGTTTACAGACAGCGGCGCCGGTTTTCTTCGAGAGGCGAAGAAGCGGAACTGACCTTGTATGGACCCCGCAAGAAAATGTTGGAATATTTGACAGCCGCAAACGCGTTTTCCTGCTATTCCAGCCCGTAAAATTAGTGTTTTATTAGATTTCGGGCACTTTATTTTGCCAAGTAGATGAAATAAATTTTTGTTTTCACGTTTCCCGTCTGCCCGAAAAGTCAGCTTGCCCGAAAGTTAGGGGGCTTGTTTAAGTGGAAATGAGTAATCTGTCTGTAAACATACAAATTGTTAAATATACATACTAATTTCGAATTTGTTTTTTACTTGCTACCCTCTTGAATAATACCATTTGTTTATATCCCGATACGTTCTCTTACGATGAACTAAAACGAAGTTCACACATGCTGTAATTTGAGGAATTTTTACTTGCCTGTTCTCTACGATGACCCTTGATGGAAGACACTGACAATTTGTTGGCCAAACAAATATTAGAGAAAATTAAACAGTCTATCTCTGAACCCTTTTCGAACGTTTGGAGAACGTGCTTAAAAAAACATTCTGACCGCAACCATATTAGAACCAATTACGAATGTTACCAAAACGTTTTGTGTTTCCTGGGTATAGTTTCCCTTGTTAATTATCATGTTTCTCACCGAGGGCACAGGACCGGAACTTTTAAGTACAATTTAAGCGTTGATTAATGTGTGTAAAAGAATGTTTCTTTACACATTCGGGCTGAAAGAATGGTCTGTTAGAAATTGGGTCCTTTGTGCGAAGGATAAATACGGTATGCACGAGAGTTACAGCTATCGAAAACAGTAGACACACCAACTGCCAACAAAAATAAGATCAGTATTGCAAGAGAATTTCTTAAATCATCACCCAAGCTGTCATCACATTATTCGCGCCCTGATTCATCCAAACATTACATAGAAACAACAACTGACACAAAGAGAAAGTTATATGAAGTGTTCCAAAGTTACTGTGACTCAAAAGATTACCCGAAGGTTTCTATCCAAGTGCTCAGCAAAGTGATGAATGAAGACAATGTCGCCATTACTAAACCCAAAAAGACGAATGCAATGTATGTTTTTCATATAAGTACAACACCATATCCGATGAAGAACACCAGCTTCACATACAGAAAAAAGAAGGGGCTAAAGAAGAAAAAAAAGAAAGACAATGAAAAAGCTTAGTTTAGAGATGGTGATATTGTGGTATTTACATGGATCTTCAAGTGGTTCTTCTATGACCAAGAATTTTTGCAAATGCCAATTGCTACAAAACAAAGGTCTTGTGCCAGAACTCCACTACCTATAATCTAGGAACTAGGGAAGTGTATTGCTATTTCTGGCATGAGGGCCAAGGTGAAGTTACTGGAAACAATTTCGCATCCTGTATTGTTGACCAGGTTCAGCATATCATTAGTCAAAATGTTGAAAAACCACCAAAAAGCATTATTCGTTATAGTGATGGCTGCTGCTATCAGACCCTGAATTTTGTATTGACCAACGCACTCCTTAACATGTCGGTGTCAACTGGTGTTACAATAATTCAAAAGTTTTTGGAGAAAGGTCATACCTGGATGGAGGTGGACTCCGTTCCTTTTGCCATCGAAAATAAGCCCCGAAATCGCGAAGTATGTTGGCCAGCCGAGTACGTAAATATATTTAGATCAGCCAGAAGGGAGCCGCAATATCAGATCAAATATGTCGATCATACATTCTTTAAAAATTATAGCCAATTGTCATATTTGAGCAGTATCAGACCTGGTAACTCAGTTGGAGATCATGTCGTTACTGATATTCGTGCTCTTAAATATTCTCCTGATCTGAAAGTAGAATTTAAGCTTTTGTTTTCAGAAGAGTGGCACCATAATCTAATTGTCGCCCCACTATACAGGTTTTTTTTAATTCTTTTTTTATTTTCATTTTTGCCTTCATGCGAATAATTTATTTTCTAGTCGTCCAAAATCGATCTTTTAACTTGACGATTGTTCTTTCATGACACCTTGACAGTCACCGCAAATACCTATTTTTCCTATTTAAATCACTCCAGGTCACATTGGAATATTTCCAACTCTCTCTATTTATTAAATCAATTCTGCCGACGGGGTCTCGTCCGCTATACCAGGATAAAATGGAGTTTCAAGAAAATCGTCGTATGGTTTTATAGATTTATTGGACACAGCTTTACTTTTACCAAACTTCCTAGTCTTTGTCGTCAGTGTGAACAGTCTATTTTGGATCTCTTTGTCACCAAACGTCACACAGTCGTCATGTAAAGCAGTTATGATAGATCGATGCACCGTAGCTGTCGGGAATTTATGAACAATACCTAGTAGTTTGGTTACAGTGTTCAGAGTACCTGTCCAATCCAATGCTGTGTAGCAAATCATCGGTGGACGCCATCTTGCGGTGCTCAATTTCAGATCTAGAAAAACATGTCCGACGATCAACGCTTAAGGCCACAAAATAACTAAACGAGATACATTGAATGTAGACGTCACAAATAGCTTTCCACGAACATGTATTGGTATATAGAGCCGAATAAAAAGTACACACATTACGTCCTTCGACTTTCGTGTTTATTTAACCTGAAACCGACAGTTTCAGTCAGATTTTTATGAAATTCGAACTCAACCTTCATTGATGTTTAATGGTGATATATGTAAACAGTTTTTAAAATTGAATACAAATTGTGACTTCTAGCGGGTCCACAAGCTAAAAATGTGATTTTTCGAAAACAATCAGTGGCCATAATCCAGGAGTTTACGTTTGGATATGCGCGACAGGAACCAAGGTCTTTGTGATTTAAACATAAATTAAAAGTTTCATCAAAATCGGATCAAAATTGTGGCCTGTAGAGGGTCCACAACTTTAATATACCATAATTTTTTTTACACTATTTGCGTATGAGGGGCGGCCATTTTGTCTGGCAGTTTTGGTCCGATTTTCACGAAATTCAAACTCAAATGTGATTAGGGTGTAACGATGATATATTAAAATGGTTTTATTTAAATCGGATATAAATTGTGACCTATAGACGCGATTTTTCGTACAATCAAGGGTCATAATTCAGGAAATTACGATCCGATATGTACGAAAATCCAAAAGGAACCAAGATCTTTGGATTGTAAAGATTAATTTTAAGTTTCATCCAAATCGGATTAAATCGTACAGGGTCCACAGCCTAAATATATATGTACCATATATTTACACTATTTGTGTACGAGGGGCGACCATTTCGTCCGGAAGTTTTGGTCCAATTTTTACAAAATTCGAACTCAACTGTCTCTAGGGTGTAACGGTGATATATTCAAACGTTTTTTTTTTAACTGGATACAAATTGTTCCCAGTAGAGGGACCACAAGCTTAAAACGCCATTTTTCATACAATCAGGAGCCATAATTCAAGAAGTTACGATCCGATTAAGCGAATATCGAAAGGAACCAAGATCTTTCGGTTATAAACATGTATTTCAAGTTTTATCAAAACCGGATTAAGCGAATAAAGATTAGAATCATCATATGACAGCTTGTGTGATACAATCTCCGATGTCCTTTAATTGACCATACCATTGTTTAATTTAACAAAGGCCCAGCGGCTGGCATATCTATAGTGGTCAAGTTACTTAGTCAGATAATACGTTGACCGCTAGCTACGTTTACTACAATGTGTTCATTTGTCACACATCAATTGTGTTGCCACACATCAATTGTTCTGTAACCTGTTATGTGATTATCGTAAGATAATCTTAAGTTCTTTTGTTCAGTATCATTAATGAATGTACCATTTCAGTATAAATTGAGTTAGGTTTTTGGATATAGGAGAGACGAGCTTTGATCCGATATGCTCAAATATCGAAAGGAACCATGAGATCTTTGGGTTATAAACATGCATTGTAAGTTTTTTGGGGATCACGGTGGCTAAGTGTGTAAGACGCTGGCTCGCTAGCCTGGAGGTCGGGTGTTCGATCCCTGCATTGGCCGAGAAAGTTCATCCCGATTTTCCGGCGTGGTTCCCCTTGTCAGTGATGCAGGACGGAGGGCCTGACAAGGACAGCTGTCTAGTCGTTCGGATGGTCCCGTATACACATTGGCGTGTACGTAAAAGATCCCTTGACAGTTGGAAATCGATATAAAAGTAGGCCATAGTGCCGCTGTCCGGGAAAAATTTCCCTCATAGCACACTGTATGGCATATGCCCGTCTTCATTAGCCCAGTTCGGAGCAGAAAAGTAGGTCGTTAAACCTCATTTCATTTCATTTCATTAGCATTGTAAGTTTCATCAAAATCAGATGAAAATTGTGACCTCTTAGAGTATCCACAAGCTAAAAACGTAATTTTTCGTACAATCAGGGGCCATGATCCATGAAGGTTTGATCCGATGCATGTCAATATCGAAAGCAACCGAATCTTTTGGTGATAAAGCTATATTTCAAGTTTCGTCAAAATCGGGTAAGAATTGTGACCTGTAGAGAGTCCACAAACAACTATTAAACCACAGCTATGATGTCATCCCTTGTTCTTTTAATCCATTATAATGAGGAATGGATTGATGTGTAAACAAACAGTCCATTATTAATGAAAACAATCCATTATTAATGGAAATAGTCCATTATTTTTAGACATTGTCCATTATTAGCGAAAAATACATTAATAATAAAGTGTAGTCATTATATATTAAGCAACTGAAAATAAATCAAAACAAACTGTCCATTTATTACTAATTTCCCTTTCAACATTTACAAAATTTTAAATAAATTGAAATTTCCGAAGAATGGATGTTACTTTCCCTGGAATCACTGGACACTTTTGAATTATTTTGTTTTGGACTTGATAGTTGACACAATTTTGGACACTTTTCAGCTACAAAAATGCTAACGCCCCTCAGTTGTTCTTTCTATTTACATAATGGACAGTCTTCGGCCATTATCCATTACATAAGTCTCTTATTATTATTATAAACGTATTGTTATAAGACTCCTATTATTATTATTATCATTATTATTAAGTATTCTTAGAGGGCTCTTTTTGTTGTACGGCTCTTATTCCTGCCTATCATTATCATTAGTAGTATTATAAACCACGTGTTTTTACAGGTTATTATTATTATTACTATAACATATTATGTATTTCAGTTTGTTGGCCATACTTTGTGTGACCTGTATACGGGGCTATGGGAATTACAGAGACAAAATACCAAATGGTAATAGAGTCCCACATCCTTGTAAATCTAACTCAATCTGGGATGGAGTTGGTCACCAAAAATCAGCTGGAAGTGGATATAGAAATCCGTTTGGTGACGATTTCGCATCTGCTGAACGAGTAAGTATATAACTGATTCTCTTTTCATAAAACAGTAAATCATCCCTACAGAGATACGAGGAAACGACTGGCGGGTCGATGAACATAATGCCGTGCGAAAAAATTCTGTACCGCGAGGTCCGACTAGGATTTTGCCGTCCGTAACCATACGTTTTATTATACGCCCACATTTTCATGTGGACGTATATTGTCGTCGCCACTGTCCGTCCGCCCGCCCTCAATTTGTTTGAGGACACTCTAGAGGTCACAATTTCTATTCGATTTTGACGAAATATATACTAAGCATCAAAGGAAACGTCAGGTTGGTATGTTAATCTAAATAGGCGCATTGCATAAAACTTGTCAAATGTTTTTATTGTATATTTGTGACCACATCTCCAACTTTACCTAAGCAATAAGGCTCCTTCCCAAACACAGAACTGAACCCAGGATATGTTCCCAAAAACGCTACCTGACTTCTGAGATGGTAATGTGTTCTCCATGATTTTCATGTAACTCATGGTGCACATGCTATTCACCGGGACCAGCCTTATAAAATGCAACCCCAAACCTGGTTGAATCATTCACCCTACAACGTCAGCAGCATGCCACGACTCACGACAGCTCAGAGGAACCAGGCGCTTGGGAAACTCGGCGCTGGCCACACTGCCCAAGCCGTTGCTAATCACTTCCAGGTCAGTGTTCGGACCATCTACAGGCCTCCGCAAAGCTTTCGGGCTACCAACGGATGATCGCCCCCGAACAGGTAAACCAAAGGTTACCACAAGGCGACAAGACCGCCATGTTTTGCGACAGCACGTGCAGAATCCCTTCACACAGGCATCTGAAACAGCATGTGGGAACACACGGAAGACCCATCAGTACCGATACAGTGCGCCGACATCTCACCAGAGAGAACATCCATTGCCGTAGACCTTACCGTGGACCAATCCTCAACAACAACACCAGAACTGCCGACACAGGCAATGGAGAACTGTTCTGTTCACAAATGAGAGTCGGTATTGCGTACCAACTGCAGATGGCAAGACCAGAATATGGCGTCAACGTGGCCAGCGTTATTCTGACCAATGTGTCATGGAACGAGACTCATGGGGAGGTCCAAGTATAATGGTTTGAGGTGGAATCGACCTGAACCAGAGAGTGAGTCTTGTTGTGTTTCAAAATCTTGGTCCAGGGAGAGGAGGCGACATCACAGCAGTGCGCTACATCGATCAAGCTCTCAGACCCGACGTCATACCACATTTCACGCGTCATCGAAACAGCGTTTTTCAGCATGACAACGCCCGTGCCCACACCGCCAGAGTTACTTGGGACTTTCTACAGCAGAACGGTGTCAACGTTATGCACTGGCCAACCCTTAGTCCGGACCTAAACCCGATTGAACATCTTTGGGATGAAATTCAGAGGAGACTTAATAACGTCGTACCTAGACCAAACACAGCCGATGGATTGCGCCAGGCTTTTCTGAGAGTGTGCTTCCAGGCGCCAATGGCATTCATCAATCGTCTGGTTCACTCCATGTACAGACGCTGCGCTGCTGTTATTGACACTCGCGGTGGACACACCAGATAATGATGTATAGACTGTGTACAGACTATAAACCTTCTCGTAATGTCTGAGAATTGTGATGAATTAATCACTAATGTGTCAACATACTGTTAACAAAAAATTGCTTTGATCCATTTAGTAAGTCGTTTTCTAGAATGATTTGATTAAAGTGTCTCTATGATTTTGAAATCGTACTGACAATTTATTTTTTGCTGTTTAGTGTTTATCTCCAAAGGATATCGGTTCCTGTCGATATTGGCATGTATCAGATCACAACTTCATGGATTATGGCCCCTGATTATACGAAAAAACAGGTTTTTAGCTTATGGACACTCTAGAGGTCACAATGTTTATCTGATTTAATAAAAACGTTCAAATATATCACCGTTACACCATAATAGTGTAAAAGTATGGTATATCAAAGTTGTGGATCCTCTAAAGGTCACAATTTTTATCCGATTTTGATGAAACTCCAACTTCCTGGATTATGCCCCCTGATTATACGAAAAAAACCGATTTTAGCTTGTGGACGCTCTATAGGTCACAATTTTTTATTCAATTTTAAAAATCTTTTAAAATATCTCTGTTATACCTTATCGATGGTTGAGTTAGAATTGCGTGAAAAATGGTCGGTCCTTGTACGCAAATAGTGTAAAAGTGTGTAATACCAAAGTTGTGGACCCTCTAGAAGTCACAATTGTTAATTGTCACCGATTTCAAAATTTTTTTAAAAATATGTTTATAACCAAAAGATCTCGGTTCATTCGGATATTCGCGCATATCTGACCGTAACTTCCTGAATTATGGCCCCTGAGTGTACAAAAAGCACATAATTTTTTTTAGCTCGTTCTCTGTCTATCTCTTGCAAAATGTGGGCGTATGTTGCATTACAACCGCTTGTATAAATATTACACAACTGTGACAAGCATCCACCGCAGCAAGGTATATCATGTAGAGCCGTGTCTGGCAAGTGCGGACGCTAACGTTAATGTTTTAATAAAGGGTACAAAATTAACCCTTTCCACAAAATTTCAAAATTAAAAAGGGTGGGGTATTTATAAAGTGTCATATCTTTTTTATTACTAACCATTTACTAACCAATCATGCATGATTTGTAGTGTATTAATTGACCGGTGAGATGTTATATTTCCTTTTTGGATACATGAAATCCTAGGGGTCATTAAAGATTATAGGGCAACACATCCGCTTGATGACCCTTAAAGCTGACCTTTTCGATATTCAATCGCCTAACATATTTTGCATGCAATAAAAAGGTGATGTATCCCACGACTGCTTATAAAACGGAAAATCAATTTAAAAATTAACATTAACCTGATGATAAGTATTAGGCCTAATTTCTATAATAAGATCCATATTTATAAAAGGGGGATAATCAAATGTAGGGGTAAATAACTCTTCTTAAACTACCTTAAAAGTCTTGTTTATTGCCTTTAGTATTTTATAACAAGAACGATTGAATACAAAATATTATATTTAAAGTTTTTATATACTTTTAAAATACGAATAGTATTGGCGGTTTATATTAATCAACAATTTTCAAATTTTCCATATATATGTCACATATGGCAAATTCCGCGAACAATAAGTTCCAAAATAATTAATTTCGAGTGATTAAGAGGAATGAAAAGGGTATTAATTCAAATGTTTGTTTGCGTGCCATTGCCATCTGCTTGTAGAAATATTGCCGGCCGAATGAAAAGTAATCTTTGTCTTTAAAATGAAGCCAAACTATCGGGGCACCTCAAAAATATAAAGCGAAGCAGGAGTAACATGGACAAAACAATTACAGATAATGTCTAGTGGGAGGAGGTGGGTTTTAATCGATGTACGCTGTTGTATATACGTGACGAACGCTTCTTGGAATGTGCGGGGTAAAGAAGATGGTAAAACGGGGGATTAACTCTATTTATGAGATTATATATCCCACAGTTCATCTAGTGTAATGACACTATTCAAATTTAATAGATGTATATATTATGCTATAGTATATTATATTATATGCAAGAAATAAGGAGTTTATCCCACACCCGTTTCTGTTTAATTTTCTCTAATATTTGTTTGGCCAACAAATTGTCAGTGTCTTCCATCAAGGGTCATCGTAGAGAACAGGCAAGTAAAAATTCCTCAAATTACAGCATGTGTGAACTTCATTTTAGTTCATCGTAAGAGAACGTATCGGGATATACACAAATGGTATTATTCAAGAGGGTAGCAAGTAAAAAACAAATTCGAAATTAGTATGTATATTTAACAATTTGTATGTTTACAGACAGATTACTCATTTCCACTTAAACAAGCCTTATGTATATTATTTAAAAAATAATTGGATTAAATTTTCACTCAGCCATATTTTAAGGGCATGTGTTTTGTTATTTGGTGGCTGATTCCGCCCATATATGTTCGAAATTAGGCTGTTGGCTCATCGCGTGTGTTTGACAGGCTTTCTATATATTGGAAATTAGTAGCCACGACTTACTCTTATATAGAATTCCAACTGCCAAGGGATCCTTTACGTGCACGCAGATGTGTACACGTGACTCGGTTTTTCGTCCCATCCGAGCTACTAGACATCCATTCGTGTCAGGCCATCCGACCTGCATCACTGACAAAGGGAAACCACGCCGGAAAATCCCGATGAACTTTCTCGGTCAACACCGGGATCGAACCTGCGACCTCCAGGATAGCGGGTCAGCGTCTTACTCACTTAGAGACCGTGGCTCCCCTGGAAGCATAGACAGGGGGCATCTGCTAAATTACTTATAAGAGCCAAACATATGGAAGACCAAACAGCTTTTTATTCAGTGTTCTTAGTCCTTATTTCTTAATTCATAGTACTTATTTCTTCATTTGTTGTCGTATTTCGACATTTGTATACTAAAGACCGCCATGTTGTGCGACAGCACGTGCAGAATCCCTTCACACAGGCATCTGAAACAGCATGTGGGAACACACGGAAGACCCATCAGTACCGATACAGTGCGCCGACATCTCACCAGAGAGAACATCCATTGCCGTAGACCTTACCGTGGACCAGTCCTCAACAACAACACCAGAACTGCCGACACAGGCAATGGAGAACTGTTCTGTTCACAAATGAGAGTCGGTATTGCGTACCAACTGCAGATGGCAAGACCAGAATATGGCGTCAACGTGGCCAGCGTTATTCTGACCAATGTGTCATGGAACGAGACTCATGGGGAGGTCCAAGTATAATGGTTTGAGGTGGAATCGACCTGAACCAGAGAGTGAGTCTTGTTGTGTTTCAAAATCTTGGTCCAGGGAGAGGAGGCGACATCACAGCAGTGCGCTACATCGATCAAGCTCTCAGACCCGACGTCATACCACATTTCACGCGTCATCGAAACAGCGTTTTTCAGCATGACAACGCCCGTGCCCACACCGCCAGAGTTACTTGGGACTTTCTACAGCAG